TTCCTTCCTTTCTTTCTTTCTTTTCTTTCTTTCTTTCTTTCTTTTTCAAATCTTGTTTTCTTTGCCTCCATAATATCTTCAAGAATGGGGCAGAATATCTCATCTGAGTTCTGAACTGATGCTGGGGGAATTTAGAAATTAAGCCATAGGCTAGAGATTCTTGATACCAGCATTCTGTGAAATCCAAATAGGGCACGAAGACCGGGATGCCTTTTATATTTCCCAGGCTATAATCTGATAGAAAACAAACACCTGCCCACCTGTGTTATCATTAACTTCTTAAGTTGCCTAAAATACTCTTCCAAATTGTTGATTGCTGGAGATGATTCAAAAAATGCTTCCAGGTAACCAACAAAGATGGTGAATTTGCACCTATTTTAGAAATGAATTAATCCACAAACCCAGCCACTACTTTGATGTGCTTTTCTCTCCAGAAAGAAATTAAGAACGTGCCTAATGAGAATTTTAAAGCTGGTGCAACTTGTGAGAGCTTCTACTTCACTTGCCCGCTTGCTCCTTGTGTTCTGTTACCAATGTACATTTATATCTGGATCTCAACCTTGCTACAATCAGCCCCTTGTGGTGAAATTGCAGAGATATTCTGCAGTAGTTTTATGCAGTCCCATGATCCCTTCAAACACTGCAAAGGAGAAACAACCTCTGCAAAACCTTTACTGCACATTCTGGAGAAAGGAGTTTGCAATTAAAGGGGAGAAAAAGGGCCAGCGTTTGAAAAGTAAATTCAACCATCTCATTTCTTTGAATATCCCATCAATGTTTCCTCTGAATCTGAAAGGAACAAACTAGACAGGAATCTCTTCTGCAAACAGTTGTACATTTATACTAGTCCATGCAGTGCACATCTGTCGTGGGGTACTGCGCCCTGGTGCAATAATTGTGCAAATGCATTGCTACTTGTGTGTCTCTGGGAGGTGTCATAATAATGCAGAAGAGGATTTATCAAAATGTTTCTAGCTCAGAAGCAGGTCACCCAGTTCAGCTGCTGATGGCTACAGACAGGTCTGCAAAAGGGCTTGTTCCAAAACTATGGAGAATGGTTGCCCATTAGCATAAATAAACTTGGATTAGATGGATCAACAATCACATTTTATGAAAAAGCAACTTCCTAAGATCCTATATATTGGCTAACAGTCATGTTGGTATATATTTAGAATTAAAAACAAAACAAAAAACCTTACAATCCATGGATAATTTCCAGCATGACCAAAAAAAAAAAAAAGTCAAACTGAAAGAGAAAAGTAGGCAAGGAGACTTCAGAGGAATTTTCTGTTAAAGATGCCTACATCTGTAAATGAGGGATATTAACAGATCACAAGGCTTAGAGCATTTCCAAAGTCAAGGGAAAAATGGAGAACTTAAAAAGAGGCAATACCTTAGCCTTTTTTTTTCTGACAATGAAGAAAGGTGTAAAAATCAGTGGGAATGTAGAAATAGCCATGTCAAATGCTGCCTCTTATCTAAAGGCTGTAACCCTTAGGAAGGAACCCCAACACTTTATGGATTAAATTCCTTCCTCTTCCTTCTCTTCTTTTTCTCTAAAACATCTTGCTTTCTTCATCATAGGCCAATTCACAGAATATTAACAGAATTGGAAGCGCCTTGAAGGTCTTCTAGCCCAACCTCCTTACACTGCAAACAATTACCATTCTAATTCCATTGGAAAATAACTTAATATTTACTCTTTGCTATAAGCAGGAGCTTTCCTAGGAGTCTTGCCCTGAGAAATGGCAGGTGGAAGCTGAGAAATTTGAGCTGTTGGGAGGATATTAATGGTGTTTTCATTTTTTTGAGTTTCCTCTTATTGGTTCATGATCCATAAACAACAGACTCAAATGAAAGGCTGTTTTTCAGTTTGGGCAGGGGGGAATAGTATATCCAATCAGTCAGGATGAGCAGCATTTTTGAAGCTATGGAGGCATAATTTAATTTAAATGTATTTTGGGATTCTGAAGGGGCAAAGGCAGAATGTTTCGTCCCCACCCCCCAAACTTTACTAACAATTATACAGGCAAGTCTGGCCTAACCAAGGGTTAAATTCATACTGTCAGATGATTCACTGAAACTATGAGTTGGTTGGTTAACTGTTTGATCTATAAACCAGTTGGTGGCAGCAAAGAGTTATACTTTTGGTATGTCTTGGGTGCCATCTAGTGATCATCTGGATTTATGCAGCCATTGGGGAAGTGCTGTTGAAAAGCTGGAACTAGACTAGAGGAATAGCTATGGGAACTGGTGGAGGAACTGTACATTTTCCCAAGAATTTTCCAAGAGGAGGGGAGAGGTGAGATGGCGAGAAGGTAGGGCAAGAGCAACTACTAGCAAAGAAATTTTCTGCCAGGACTTTCTCTGATTTAACGCAGTCAACTGGAAGTGTAAATAAAAAAGACTTATATCTTATATTTCTCCCTCACAGCCAAAAGGACTGAAGAACAGATTAGGATTAGATGTAAGAGAGTGGTCTCCTAGGAAAACAGCAGAATTGTCCCAAAGATGCTTTTCTAAAAAGCAACCGGACTTTCTTTTTTCCTTGAAAAGATTTTCCTTCCATTCCCCACCAATCAGTCAGAACTGAAGAAGCTTCTTGGATGAGAAGCAAAACGATTTCAAGGGGGAAAAAAAGCAAGAAAGTCCAGTTGCCTTTTGGAAAAGCATCTTTGGGACAACCACAACCTGGATGATTGAGAATCTCCATAGACAGGATAATTAATTGGAGCCACAAGGCTACCAACACTGAATATGTTAAGTTGGGCTGCTCCGTCCTTGTGCATCAATGCATCTAAGTTGCCCACACACTGTTTGGAAACAACATCAGAGGAGAAATGCCTCTTCCAGAAAGAAACATTTAAAACTGTGAATAGACAGTGAGATACTGGTGTGGTGTGAGCACAAGTCCTCTAAAAATCAGACAAGGCAGGAGGCTGGGTGGATTTGCTCAGTCAGGGGAGTGCAAGGATGCAAAATCACCAACTGCATCCAGAAGTTGAATCATGGCAACTGGACTTTCCTTTTTTCAATTTGAAATGTTGCGTTGTGTATCCAAGTAGCTTGTTGGATAAGAAGCGAAACTTTCAAACCAAACCAAAAAACACCCACCCTTGAAAAGAAGTCCATTTGCCATGACTCAATTTGCAGACAACTCTACCCGGATGTCTGAGAATCTTCACCGACAAATCACCAATTGTGGTTACTATATAGCAAGGGTCTCCAAATTCTTGGCAAATTCCAAACTTATGTACTTTAACTTCCAGAATTACTCAGCTAGTCATGCTGGTTGAGGAATTCTGGGAGTTGAAGTCCAGAAGTCTTAAAATTGCCAAGTTTGGAGCTGTATAGTAAGAAACATCACAATAGGGTGAGTCCCAGCAAAAATACAAGGAACCTGGCCTTCAATGCAGCACCCTGAGCCTGTTGAAATTCAGAATCTCCATTAAGGGCAGGGAACTTCTGTCCTTCCAGATGTTGCTGCTTAATTCCTAAGCCCCAAGGGACATGGTAGTAATCAGTGATGAAAGTGTTTGAGGTTCAACACATCTGGAAGACCATTTTCTCAGTCTTGCTTTTCAAAGGCTGGCTGTTTTCCACACCAAAGCCACAATTGGAAAGCCTTTGCAAAAGGAGACATTCTTGGCTTGCCTATGGCCAAAGGTGGCCCCATCGCTTTGCTTAGCTCTGAATGTTGATTCCCAGCCTGCTTGTTTGCTTGAAAAAAGCCGCTCAAGCAAAGTCCAGGTATATTGGATTGCAATGCTTATACTAGTTGTAAGATGAGACTTATAATTTAATACGTATGAGGAGCACCGAGTTGGGAATGTCTGCTTCAAGACATTTTTAAATAAAAAAAAAAAAATCAATGTATTTCCCCATCTTTTCCCATGCACAAAGAGCCTCTACTGTACAGAAAACCCTTTGTTGTTTGACAAAAGGGGGCCGGGTTTTTTTTTTTGCCTTCTCTTTCATCCAGCTTTGGTAACTCAGCTTAAATAAAAAACTGGCGTGACAAAAATATCAAATTCACATGAAGCACAAGAGCATTACAGTCCTCTGGCAGAATGTGAAATACTGTTTTCAAAGTTTTCAAAACTTGTTTTTAAGTTTTAAAAGAAAATCCATACTGTAATGGCTTTTGACACAAAGGCTGTTTTCCACACGCAGTGGCTCAGATGGTGGCAAGATTTTTGTTTTACAGAGTACGTTAAGATGGGAACCTTTCCTGTAATGTGGAAGTAACCAAGCTGGTATCTTTTCTTTATTTTGGACTACAGATTCCACAATCCTTTGCAATAAGCTGCTAGCAAGGGCTGATGGGAACTCAAAAACTCTGGGGAACATCCAGTTACCTACACAGTCCTTCTGTTGTTAAATATCTGTTAAAGGTGGTAAGAAAGGGAGGGCTGGCTATGGATGTATATAGGTAGTCCTCGACTTAGTACCCAAAAAGGCCTTACAAACCAGTTTTGAAGTTCCCACAGCCAATTCTCAGTGTCACATGACTGCATTTTGGGCACTTCAGAACCTGCCTACATTTACATCCATTTGCAGTGCCCTGCGGGGTCATGTGACTGCATGATGGTTTTGCCTGAACCCAGCATTTACTTCTGGTTTCCAGAAAAAATTGACCCTTGGTGGACAATGGGTTTGCTTAAAGACCACCACAAAAAAGTTCATAAAATTGAATCTGGTCACATGGTGTCATGACTTATGATAGTAATTGCCAGACTCAACTGCAGTTGTAACTCAAGGACCACCTCTGTTTTTTTAAACAATTGAAATATGAAATAAGCCACCTCATTAATTACTCAGAGTAATGTTTGGTACAAGTCATGGAAAGAAGGATAGAAAGAGCACTATTTGTTTGGGTTTTTCTAGCCAATGAAATGCCTATATAATTGAAATTCTTTCTCCGGTCTATATATAATTATGCAGATTCTAATATTTTGAAAACTTAAACCAGGATTCATTCTAACAGAAAACACAGAAGTTACAAACAGATGATAAGCAACAAGCTAATAATATTTATATGTGTGAGACCCTTTGTCATTATCTATTTCAAAACTGCAGATTTGAAAAACAAAAAGTAATAATAAAATGGCTGGAAATATAATGCTATTTGGATGGAAAAAATCTTAAAATCAGAGGCACCAGAAGAATAAGCTAAGTCTCCCATAGAAAATGATTGGAAAGTAAAACAAATGAGAATAATAAAAACCACACCACCAGTTATGAAAATTAAAGAAAAAGCAAATGCGTGAATAGTTTTAAATAATGGAACAAATGAAGTAACTAAATTAGTATTTTTTCCCCTTGTGTACCCCTAACATTAAGCAGAAACACAGAAAGGAAAAAATACAGTAATTGAAGAATAACTAAATAGAATCATCAGGATGATTGTGTGTAAGAATTTGCAAGCAAATTCAATGTCATGGAGCAGAGTAGCAAATCCTAAAGCTCCCCCTTGAGCAAGACATTAAAAAAATCTACATGGAAGGACTTTTTTTTTACAGTTTTTGAAGTAAACATAAACTCTCTCTGAAACAGAGAGAAGATGGGGTGTGGGGAAATGGGCAGGCTGGAAAGATGTCTATATTTTATATCATTTGTTTCCTTTTTATAAAATTGTTCATTCCAGCATCGCACCATTTATTAATTCAAATAAATCTAAGCAAAATGATAAAGATCAACAAAATTCAACCTACTTCCTTCTGTCTTAAAAAGTTTGGGGATTTTTTTTAAGCCAAGAGAATGTCCTCATACAACGAGAGAGGTTTTCACTGCCATAAAATACAATTTTGAACAATAGATATCAAGTGGGGTGAGTTGTGGGCATGTACACAGACAAATCTTCCTTGCTCGTAGCACATACACATGAACACACATCTGAAGGACCTCTATGGTTGGAGCAATTTCTCTCAAACTTTCGAGACACTAACCAGTATCATAAATTTTAATTACAGATGCAATTAATCCCACTTTTATTGTAAAAGCAAAGGGGCCTATCTTTAAAGGAGACTGCCATTCTTACTTGGTTTCCATACATCTGTCTTTTAGGGAATCTACTCAAAAGGAATCGAATTCTGTTTGGCTAGTACATTGAAGGATTAAACGAAATATCTGGAAAAAAAAAAAAGTGGAAGAGATAGCTTCACTCCCACACACTTAGTGAGGGCATGAGAGGTCACAATCACAAATGATGACCCAATTCCGTGGAACTGATAGGATAGGGTTACCGTTTGATTTGATCCAAACTTTTTACTTTTTCAATCAATAGGAATCTTGAACAGTTCTTTTGTGAAAGAAGCTGAATTGACTTTCCTGTAAATTGAAAGCATCTGCCTTTAAGCCAACTACCTCTTCCCCAAGTCTGAAATATCCAAGTCATACATGTAAGCTACTCACGTTATTACACATGCTTGAGCCACCTCTACATTCACTGTATTTCACCCACTTTTCCAATCTATTCCAAGTATCACAAATCAATTCCCAAGGGAAAAGGGAAGGGCTGAATTCAATTCTTTTCCAATAACTTTCAATAAACCAAGACAGAAGCTCAACAACCATAACCTCCATACTACGCTATCAATGGAACTTGGAGATGTTACAAAGCAAAAGAAAATATACTAGAAATCCCCAGCCAATTCTCTTCTCCCCAGAGTTAGAAGCTACCCAAACTGAGACATCCATCTCTCATGGACATTTAACAGCTAAGATAACTATGTTACTAACCATAGATTTAGCCACTAGGTGCAGAAGGGCATTGCACATTTGAAACTTCATTTTTACTTGCATTTACAACTGGAAGACATGTGATAAAACCCATAATGGGAAGTTTCCTAGTTCAGATTATCCCCCTCATTGCCTTGCTAAGAAAGAAAATAAATGATAGGTTTTTATGAGGAAAAAACCACACATTTGCTTCCTACCTCAAATTGGAAAATATTTGGCTGATGCTGGGTCAAAATTCTATTCTTGATTTCTTGAAGAATATCTATTCTGCAGTAAAAGAGGGACAATAAGCACACAGCCTCCCTGCTGCATTACCATGCTTTAAGTGATGTTCTATAATTTGTGGTCCAGTTATAATTTTGATATGACAGGAAAAAAATACTAAAACACACAGGAAGGAAAATTGTTAAAATCCACAGGGAATATTCAGATTGTACTGCACTTAATTACATCTGAATGAAGTCTAATTTAGTTTTATTCTGACACCACTGACTTTTTAAGGAATTCAGCCTCTAGCATTATCTATTGTTCGAAGATCAGGTGGAACTTTTAAGATAAGAAATGGTTTTGTGCCCTGGCTTAAAACTGTTGCTTCTCTTGTCTAAGCCAAACAAAAATAATAATTATTGGGATGTTTATAGGTCTTCCAGACTCAGATGTGATACAGGGTCACAAAATAGGTCTTGCCTGCAGGAGTCCTCCAGATATCCACTTTGCTACATTATGAGAATTCTAAATAAAGTAAATTTCATATAACAAGGCAGCCTTGAATTCCTGTTTTAAAAGATCTCCCTTTCCCAGGATTCCTGGGAGAGTAAGATTACAGGGAGTCCTTGACTTACAACTACAATTGGGCCCAACGTTTCTATTGAGAAGCAAAGCATCTGTTAAGTGAGTTTTCCCCCATTTTATGACCTTTCTTTATGACAGTTGTACAGTGAATCGTGCAGTTCTTAAGGAAGTAACAAGGTTGTTTAATGAATCTGGCTTCCCCATTGACTTTGCTGGCCAGGTTGCAAAAGAGGATCACATGACCCTGGGACTTTGCAGCTGTCATAAATATGAGTCAATTGCCAAGCATCTGAATGGAGATGGTGCAACAGTCATGTCGCTTTTTTCAAAGCCATTGTTAACTTGAACGGTCATTAAACTAATCGTTGTAAGTCAAGGACTACCTGTACTGTACAATGACCAACTGGATGTACGGATATCCAAAATATATGCCTTTAGAAACAAACAGGTTCTTTCAAGTTGGGTTGAAACATAATGGTATGGCCAGCATCATACTGGTTAGTTATGGCTGGTGGACCCAGGGAGCCATGCAACCTTAACGCGGATTTGCAACTGACAGGCAAAAGACCATAAACAAACAAAACACACAGCTTGAGAAATTTCTTCCCCTCCAGTGGGTTTTGGCAGGTCCTTGGGGAAAACAAACTAACCTACTCAACCTGTTTTCTCCAGGGTGAAAATAAAATAGATATTCCCCGTGTCTTTTACACCAGGGGTCTCCAACCTTGGCCACTTTAAGCCTGGCGGACTTTTAACTCCCAGAATTCTGGGAGCTGAAGTCCGCCAGGCTTAAAGTGGCCATGGTTGGAGACCCCCTGTTTTACCCATCACTTTCAGCAATCCTAAGCTGATCCTAAGACTCCCAGCCCAGGACTTCTGAAGGAGGAGCTCTGGAAGGGAGACGGTGCCATAGGACCGATCTCACTGAGATCCTCAGCGTCTAAGTGCTATTTCAACCTTTTCCTGGCCGGCTCCGTCCTACGGGTACATCAGCTTCTTCCAACCTGAGGCTGCCAGGATTTGCTGGGACTGCAACTCCCAGAATTCTCAGCCAATGAAGCATCTAAGCATTCACAACGCACCTGAAGAAGCCTTCATTAGGGGTCGGTTTTTATAGGAATCTGAATTTGTAAGAAAAATGAACTGAAAAATCCCACTTCAGTTCCCCTATCCCTCCCATGCTCCCATCCGTGGTTTTTTGTTTTGTATAAAATGGCATTATATTCCCCCACCCCTATGCCTCCCCAACCCTTTTTTTTCTTTCTTTTTCCCCATTTTCCCCCATACACGCATCAAATAGCATGCAGCAACACCTGTGCATTGATCTCATTAGAGTTAATACGTTTTTTTTTAGAAGGCAAGGCACATTATGTGGTATAAAACGTATTTTTCTTTGTCTCGTGCAAATTAGGAAAAAAAATGTAGATTTTTTTTCTTTTCTTTTCTCTTACTTTTGTCCCTCATCATAGATGTGGACTCAAGGGAAAAAGAAGGGGAAGGGAGGGGGTGGGGTGGGAGGAAAAGAGCCTTTATGTATAATTGCCATGCACATTCTCAGCCAGCTGATTGGTTGAGCTAGGTCACATGAAATTCCTGTTTAAAAGCACCATGCAGTCTATATTGTAAGGGTTAATTCTTTCTTTTGCCTTAAAACATTGCCTCTTCATCAATTGCAGGTTTTTTTTTTTCCTCTTTCAGTTTCACTTAAAAAATAATAATTCGATCCCATACTTCCCATACAAAGCCCCTCCTCGTCTCCGTGATACTGTCCTTGCGTGGAGACTGAGGAGGCGGGCTTTCTGGGACGGAGGGCCTGTAATGGATATTCTGCCCAATTCCCACCTATGGGTTGAAACATGGCATCACCTATTTATTATAAAGGTGCAGAGATGTAAACAAATGCCGCTGGAAAATCCCCCTTCCCATGATGCCAGGTCCAAGGTGTGTGTGTGGGGGGGTATCTTGGAAAGTCTTTCGCTGCCCTTCATCCAAGGGAGCAGGTCAGAAGGAAATTTTGCATATGTGAACGCAAGCCCCAGGTGGGTACCAGGTAGGTGCTGGAGCCAAATTGCATGAAGCTTAAGATGCACAAAGGAGAGCACAGAAGTTGTAGCGTCTCGACTACAATGTTGTACTGAAGAGGGAAGATTCTGGAACAGAAGATCCACCTGAGAGAGGACTGTAGAGCCACAGCGGTTATTGGTTTCTGCCAAAATCCAGGGCAAATGCTGCAGTAAAAGAGCAAGGGGGTGTCATAGTTTCTTCTCTGTTAAAAAAAAAAATCAATTACGTATATTCTTTTGGACATTGTTGGAAAGTTCTGGAACATCCTGAGCCTGTTGGGACACAGAAGGGGAAAAAAAAAACTACTTCTCCCATCCCAGAAAAATAAAAATAAAAACCACTCAATTCTAGAAGCGGATCTCCTTTGTACATGGCAACGGGTTCACTTTGAAAGTTAGGAAACAAATTTATGTTTGTATATTGGAGTATTTGTTCAGATACATGGAATAGGATATGCATTCCTCTTGGAAGTTTGGAGAAATGTATCAAGGTGCAAAGAACTGAAGATTAGTGTTGGTTGTTCAAATAGTTGTCATCTTTCCATCCTGGAGAAGATTGAAATGTCTTCTTCGTATCTCATAGAATACAGTACAAAGGTAACTACAAGAAAAGATGTGAATACTCTCTCAGAGAATCCTGGGACATGTAACATGGGGGTGAGGGGAATTCCATTAAAAATCCCTCATAGGACTATAATTCCTACGAATTCCCTGGGATAAAGAACTACCATTCAATCATTTAAGTCTGTTGAATAACCACTCCATTAGTGATATACACTAAGTTCCCATCACTGTCTAAGTAGTAAAAGTTGGCCATTGTCTTAGTCCAGAGGTGGGGAACTATGGCCCTTTTATAACTTGTGGACTTCAGTTCCCAGAATTCTTGAGCTGGCTCAGGAATTCTGGGAGTTGAAGTCCAGAAGTCATAAAAGGGCCATAGTTCTCCAACCCTGTCTTAGGCCAACGTATGGCTAGGTTAGCTTTACAAATCCATTTGTTTGTGGTTGAAGCATTTCATTTGAAGATACTGATGTTTTCTTGGGGTTTTCTGAAGAACTATCCCTTGCAACTCATTGATCTCATTCGCTCTTGACAGATGTCTGCTGTACAATTCAAACCCACTGCAGGATGTCATCTGGGATAGATTCCTCTGCCTCAATGAGATTCCTCTGAAATCTTGACAGTTTGGCACAAGGAGGAGGAAATGTTACAAATGCTTTTAGAATAATGGCGGAATGGCGCCAGCCCTTGGAGGAAGATTGTCCAGAAGCCAACATGGACTGACCAGTTCATCAGTTGTCCACCTGGCCCTCACGGAGGACTTGGAGCCAAACTCTGACACCCCAATCTTGGCTGGGTTCAAGGAAGTCTGATCCGTGGCCTCTAAAGCTTTGGTGTCTGCTAGGAAGAAGGGATGGAGGGGGCAAGTGAAGTGGGCGGAGTGCTGCCCCTGACCCATGGTGGGGGAGAGTCTCCATTACGAATGCCGCTTTCCATAACTCAGCGAAAAGACTGGAGCATTAAAACGTAGGCACTTGAACCAGTCCTAGATGGCTTCTAGGCTCCACCTTGGGGCTTGCATGTCTGTGGGGTAGGGGCAAGTAGAATGGAGTTCTCTATGAAGGGGCAATGATGGAAGGGGGCATCTCCCTCCTCTGCTCCTACCGAACCTGTTTTCTTTTTCTTCCTCATATCCTGAAAGGTTTCTGTGTAAGGTCCCACTTTGCACCATCCCGTCACCAGTGGATTGGACAGTCACGACAATCCTCTCCACACAAATTACAGATACACTCTAGATTTACCTTCCTTATCCCTCCACCCTCCCGTTACTTTTCCTCCTCTCCCTCCTCTTCAAAAGTGCATTTCCTACAAAACAAAACAAAATGTGCAATCCATATTAGCAGTCATCAAAATCATCTCGAAGCTGGTCTACAAGGGCATGCATAGCTCTTTGTACACAAGGTTGGAAGCTCGGGAGTGGGGGGGGGAGGAGGAGAGAAAGCGAAGCCCTGCTGATCCACTGACACCCCCACCCTTTCAATGTCTTCCTGTCCACCACCCCCCACCCCCAAGTCAGAGATTCAACAAGTCACACAGGTCCCCGCTGGTGTTCATCGCACTGGCTGCCCGCCTTCTGAAGAAAGGATGTTAAAGCTGGGCGGAAGCCACCTTGAAGGGTACCTGCAGGCTGTGGGTGCCATGTCCCCACCCGTCCCCCACCCCCAAGAGCAATTCCTTCCCCGTAGGAGAACAGGCTGACAAAAGTCCATACAGGCTGACAAGAAAGAGCCCATCTCTCAGCCTGGGTCCAACTTTAAGGCAAGGGTTAGACAGACCTATGGTCATGGCAGAATTGCACAAGGGGAGTTGGGGTGCTGTTGAAACACAGTGTAATAGCAAGTTCTTTCCTGACCACCACCCCCCCTTGAAGAAATGCCTACCCCCTTTCCTCCAAACCCCGCCCCCCAAGAGTTCATTCCAGCCCAACCCAGCGACACATGCGTGGTTTCAACATTCACAGCCAAGTTCCAATGTCTCCCCCGCCCCCAGACAAAAAAAACACCCCCCAAACCCGCCACCCTTCCAAACCATCTGGTTCAGGAATTGCACTAAGTCGTCAACAAAGTCAAATTTAAGTGGCTTGCATCTGTTCCCTTCTCCCACAATTAACAGACTCTGGTCAAACCAACCCGCCCTCCTTCCCCTCCCCCACCCCACCCCATTGGCACTCAAATCCATTCCAAAAAAAAAAGGGGGGGGGGAGGGATGTCTTTTTTTGACACTAAAGGGCAAAGCATTCTGGGAGAGGAGTGCAGAAACCAAGCCACGTGTCCCCTTCTTCTCCACCAAAGAAGAAGTCCTGGCTCACACCATGTCAGTAAGTGCGGGAGACCAAGCCAGCCCCCCCCCCCATCTGAAAGCAACACATAGATTTCCAGGGAGGGGGGGGGAAATGGATGGGGGAGGGAGGAGGACAATTTCGATACACTGAAAAAGGTGCCCAGCATTTTAAAATCTTTTCCCTCTCTCTCTTGAGGGGGAATTAGCTCACGTTGCATCTTGACCTTGGCCCGACTTCAGCTGCTTGACCAGTCTAGATGGCTTGTAGTGCAGTCTCTTGGTCACGCTGACCCCATATTCCCAAAGGAGGAGAAGCAGGGAGAGCGTAGAAAAAAAGAGAGAGGGAGGGAGGCTTCCGCAGCAGGCCAGATTAATATATATATATATTTTCCCCCTACTCAACAAGAGATGGAGAAAATAACCAGAAACTTTTGCATATACATCCCTTTTGAGTAGGAGACAGACAGGATTCCAGCTGGCCACGGACTGGCAGGGAGGGTGGGGAAAACCAGGCCCCCTGAAAGGCGTGTAGTGCTTCTGGCCAAAATGCCTCCCCTGGGAGAGCTGCCTGCTTGAATTTTGCTCATTTCAGGAAAGTCGCAGTCGGGATGGCTTGGAAAGCAGGGTCTTTTTTTTCTTTTATCTTTTAAAAAGAAGTTTGAGCTTTTCCCCCTTCCCTTCCTTCTGTCTTTCTGTGATGGCTCTTCATGATGATGACGTTAATCCGTGCTCTTTCTTTTTTCTTTCTTTCTTTCCTTCCTTCCTTCTTTCTTTCTTTCTTTCGTTCTCTCTCTCTCTCTCCATGCTGCCCCCAAGGTTTGGGCCAGGGGTGGGAGGGCTGCACTGTTCTCCTCAAAGGAAGCCCAAAGCCCGGGGGAGGAAAGGAAGATGATGATGCAGATGGAAGCTGCAACTAGCCTAGGTACCAGGACTGGAAGAAGATTGAAAACAAATTACTAAGGTGGGAAGGGACCTAGACCTCCAGGTTTCCTCACCCACCCACTTACTATTCTATTCACAATGACATCTAAGTGGAACGTGCATTTTGACAGTAACTTCAACATTTAGTGAAAATATCACTTTCAGTAAGAAATGAGCACCTTTTCCCCTGACCAATTCTCCCTGCTTTGATTTTTACAATGAACTCCCTTCCTTCCATCTGGCTGCCATGGCGACTTATAAAGGGGGCGATCTGTAGCCCAGGGGTCTGACATGAGGGGTCCTTGGTGCTCTATCAGCCTGCTTGTTTCCTTGCAGACATTTCATTACCCAAATTATGTAACATCACCTACAGCTTAACAGTATGCTAATCACTGCTAATCACTGATGATGTTACCTAGTTTGGGTAATGAAACGTCTGCAGGAAAATAACTGAATTCAGTGAGCGCCAAGGACTGCTCATAGTGACTTTTCTTTCTTTCTCTTTTTCTTTCCCTCCTTCTTTCCTTCCTTTTCTTCATGCCCCCCCCCCCTTGATTACTTTTATAAATAAAGGCAGTAAACACACATTCTATTCCTTCCTCCTCTTCTTTTTCCCCACAACCACCACCTTTGGCTGTGAGTGACTGTCCCAAAGTCATCCAGCCAAGTTTCATGCCTAAGGCAGGGGTAGAACTCACAGTTTCCCAGTTTCTGGTCTGGTGCCTTAATCACTAGACCAGGGGTGTCCAATCTTGGCAACTTTAAGACTTGTGGACTTCAACTCCCAGAATTCCTC